TTACATTGGTGCAGAGTCGTAAAGAAAACGAGGAAATGAGATGCGTGGTGTTTATGCCTTTCTGTTCCAGCAGCTGATTGATCCGCAACAGGAGATCCTTGTTGTGAAGTTGATCCTTGTTATTATCTCATCCATGGGGACACCATCAATCCAAAACATGAACTGTGCAAAGAAAATGACAATAAAATGTTCATGTAATGACACTGGATAATGTAACTGCTTTGGCAATTCATCGATGGTAATGCATTTCAGGCCTCTATGCTTGTGTTTAAGCACCTATTATTATATGTAATGCATACAAGAGTCCTGAAAACCAATTTAAGCACTTCAAGGCCGATTGTTGTGGCTTATGTCGCTTTGAATACATATAAAAAGTCCTTTTGGGTAACGCATTCTGCATTTGGCGTTGGCCAAATAATCATAAGTAGAGAGGTATTTTTGACATTCTACTTTATCAGCAAGGAGTTGTGCACGGGTTGGCGTGTGTGTGCTTACTGCTTAAACCGCCAGTCAAAGGAACCCTTGTGGCTTTAAAACTGTTTGACCAAAACTTAAAAATCAAGCTTTAGGTACACCACCCAATGCTAGTGCCCTGGACTCAAGCGAATTTGATTCACCAGAATTTTTTTAAATGATGATTGAGAAAGCTCAAAACAGATGCGGTGAGCTTAAACGTGCCAGGCTACAGACTCACGTCTGGCAGTTACAAACATGGGTGGAGAACCTGCCCCGGCCACCCCGGCCGTGGCCGGGGTAACTTTCAGCCTACCCCGGCGCGGCCGGGGTGACTTTTCCACTCTTGTAAATCCAAAAAGCTGTCGCCATACGAGAAAAGAAAACTGTCGTTTTTCGGATGTTGACTGCCATGGGCGTAATACTGCAAATCAGGAAGGTATTTACACTATTTAGGTACTCAACTTACCATGCGGTGGCGTTGAGCCCTAGGACCCGCGTGTGGTTGCCAATGCCAAGATTGCTCTCAAATCGTGATCAGTTTCGAAAATTTGGCGCGCTTTCGGCGCACTTTTTTTTAGAACCGCTGCTTGACCTCACTGCCTTCGACTGGCCTGTCACAAACCGCAACCATACCGTCAGGGTGTAGCCGTCAGGATGCTCATACACCGAGCGTCCGTCACGCTTCGAGCTCGGACTGTTGTAACCGGAACGCGTGCTCTCGCCACGCGGAGTCCAACGCCTCAAGCGATTGAGCTACGAGACCGGGCGGGACCGGTCGATATCCCTGGATAGACTCCCTGTTTGTCTTATATGTAAGAGGTTGAGCCACCCAACATTGAAAAAGACTGTGTCCCTGGATGTCAGTGACCCATTTTAGTACTTTGGTTCGAACGTTCAATTTTCTCTGTAAAGCTCCTACGAGGTGAGCTGTCATCTTTTTGTAGCTATTTTGAGATGAGCTGTCATCTTTTTGTAGCTATTTTGAGACACAATAAAAAGCTGAAAACGCAACATTTACTCATAATGACTCATGATGGGTATGGTTTGGATATGTTGTGAAATTGCATAAGTTTAAGTAAAAAAATCACTTAAAAGAAAATCGCCTTTTCAATCATCGCCAACAATGTTATGAATGATACAATGTCGGATACAACGCTCACCCTTGAACAAACACAACGTCCATTATTCCATTTCCATGGGTCAGAATAGGGGTTTGCTTATGATGATCGTTGACAACAACGTGAGCTTAGTCGTCTTTTCGACTATCGGTCGCCGGCCGGGGTAACTTTTTTAAACATTCTCCACCCCTGGTTACAAAGACCAACTCGGGCACGGTAAACAAGCGGCCCATCCGTTTCAGTGACACTATGTAGATCAAGATACTAACGCGTGCAAAGAAAGGATGTTTCTGCCACTCCATTCTTTCAGTTTATCGTCGATGTTGCTCAAACATTGGTTTCTAACTGAACATTTGTTGTACATAAATGTAAACTCATACGCATGTTCACTGGCGCAGTCGACAGATGCCCATCAATGGTAATTCGTAATGCTTATTACTTTCATGTTATCTTTCATGATTCATGTTATCGTTTTTAGTTATTTCGTATATTGCAGCCGATTTTATCAAATTCCTCACTAAAAACACAATGCCACTTGATTCCATTTCTGTCACTGGTTATTTAAGTTTGAACCCAATTCAATATAAATTTCAAACATCTACACATTCCTTCTAGTATTTCTTAACTCTTGTCTCGTTCTAAGCATCGTGAAATAGTTAATCGTGGATATGCATACCAAATACCGAGTTGGTATCGGTTTGGTATCGGTATACCAAAAAGTTGGTATCCGATTGACATCTCTAGTCGATTTACATTAAAGGGACTGTCCCACCTTTGCATTAGTTCTGAGTTGAGATAGCCAAGTTGGCGGCTAGGTTCAGAAACCACTAGGTATATATCCTGGTCGCAATATCCTCAGTTTCGTGGTGTTAAAGAAATTCGTTCCCTTCATTTGAAAAGTGGGCCTTAGCTAGGGCCCTATCTCTTAACTATTAACGGCCATTTGATGACGTCATTGCTCATTTGCCTTTCGAACGCCTGTCACACATCCAAGTGAAGTATCACTTGATTTACGAATAAGCCAATCAGAGACACTCTTGTTATTGTATGAGCCGCGTCATATTTGAGAGCAAATATATTTGCTGCCAAATTTCCCCTCACATTGACATGAAGTAAATCCTTCATTACGTCACAGATTCGATATAAATGACGTCACGATGAAATATGAAAGTCGCAATATCTCAAAAGTATACGATGAAAAGGCGTAAAAACTTGCAGAATTCGTCAAAATATCATGAGTAACATTTCCGAATCCTAAACGGTACTTTTTTGAAGGTGGGATAGTCCCTTTAACACACTCATAAATATGTACGGTAAAGATGCCCTGTAAAGTGTGGGTACTGAGCTTGTATGTACTCGGGTTGTTTCGGGTCACCTAACACCTTGGTCATAAATGGTCAACGACATTTCAAAGCTTGTATAGGTGATGTGACACATGTTTTATGGTTTATTTTGGACATGGAAATCGAAAAGTTCATCGTCTGCAGACGATGTGCAGTCTTCAGACGGCACATGTGCCGTCTGAAGACACTGACAGCTTTTATAGGAATGTGATAGAGAATTTTAACTTGATAGGAATGTTATTGGAATGCATCTAGGAATGTCAGCAACAGGTAAAAAGGGCAAATTTTGAAAATGAAATTGTTAAAAAAGGTGTCTATCAGATGCAGTTTATGTTCAGGAACACAAAAGTGCTATTTGTTTTGGTTTGTATGATATCAAAACGTATTGAAAATTTAATTTGCCTTATCGATTATGATGAATCATTAACTAGGGCACAATGTAAAAGCGGAAACTTTGCGATTTTCGAAGATATCTGACTTGATTGAGTAACTCATTCATTGTTACGTTGTTTCTCACCTGTGTTCCGTTTATTTTAGGAAAAGTAACAAAAATATTGAAATAATTATCATTTTTCCGACTTCATAGCGTAATTTCTAAACTGTTCAATTTATGAATTCCGAGAAAGTAGATTGATAGCCTATATTCTGTGTCACCTCATGCAAAGACATTTGTGCTATATTAACCCTCTCCCGTATTGGTGTTTTTCCAGCCGGGAACGTATAAGGGGGGTTGGACCCTTCCCCCTTGCCGTTTCGCCCCGGATCGAGCTAGAGCTTCGCGGAAAAAACGAGCGTGTTGCCCGTGACGAGAAAAAGCCGATGATACCCAATTTAAGGTCTTAGGTCATTGGTTGACCTTCCAGGTCAGGTCAATGACCTAAAAGTCGGGAAAATCGGGACCTGTTGGAACGTCGTAAAGTGTGGCTGCTATGGGGTTTTTCAGGGTGCTGATCGCGAATATCATGTAAGTTTTGATCACAGATGATTTCTTTATGCATGTAGGCCAGGTCGGGTCGGGTCAGGTCAGGTCAGGTCAACCAGTACGGGTGCTGCCGGGTATTCGTAGTAGGTGTCAACCGCCTTGACAGCTTCGTAACATGTTACGAAGGCACCAAAACAACTTCGTAAATGTTCGTCTGGTTACTAAATTCAAATTCAGCTCCAAAAACTGGCCTAGAAACATGTAAAACTCGAAAAAGTGAACCGAGGTCATCAAAGGTCAATGACCTGACGGTTCCTGACCTGACCTTCAGGTGACCTTGACACCCACCTTAATGCATGGGGGCAACACCATATCACATGTTTGAACGCTTGAAACCACAAAAAACTGCAAAAGCGCGGCTAATGCGAACCGACATACGCCGAATCGCGATTCCGGCCAAACATGGTCTCGAAAAGTAGGTCACAGGTCAAAGGCCATTTGGGTTAGGGTCATGAAATTTTCAGAGTAGGTGTAAAATCGATCAACTCGAGGGTACTAAAAGTTTCATTGCGATCAGCCGCTTTTTACGCGAGTTATTCGCGAAAAACCGAGGGGGTCCGTTCGACCCCCTCCCCCCCCTATACGGGCGAGGGTTAGAAAACTGGGCTCTTGAAAGCGATTTTCGTAATCCCATGCTTTGCATGAAAATCGGCCAAACATGACGTCACTATGGCGTCATTTCCGGCCGACCTATGGCAGTTACGAAACTTTTCTTTTGACAGTAAGTGCCAATTGATGCATCCGAGGGTAAAATGCAAGTTTTGTGTCGATACGTTTCGTGATTTTGAAGACATTGCAGAAAACGGGAGCGGGTGCCGCATGTAGCGCTTCCCCCCAAGTCATGGGCGGGTTAAAATTATCAAGGACAATGGTCCGGACAGTCCGGACGGTCCCGTAGTCCGGTAGTGGTCCTGTAACGGAGCCAGAACAGATACCATGCATAGGTCCAGGACAGGGACCAGTCCTGGTGACCATGGGGGCGGAGCCGAAATCAACCCCAAATCGACCCGAGCCCTGGACTGTGAAACCGGACAGTGTGTCAGTAGAGTAACAACATTAGAACCCATCCTGAGAAGACACCGTCTCCGGGGCTGAACTGACCTGCCGCTGGATCCGACCCTCGCGTGGCACCGGCCGCACCACACTGCCCCCGCCGCCGGCAGCGAGCCCGCCGCGCGGCGCACCCGACCGACGCGCGCGCGCCACACCGCACGCCGGCACCGACGCGACGGCCCTGCCGCGCTCGGTCCGTCGCCGACACCGACACCGACGGCGACGGCAGTCCCGCCTCCGTCGGCAGCGCGCGATGTGCCTCGGCATATACGACATATGCTGTTTGATGTAATGTAAAAGGTGTTGCCCATGCTGTTAAAAATACACCTAAATAAACACGCCAAGGCAAGTACAGTAGAACGACTAGCAAGACACAACACAATAGCCGTTTTCACGACGGGCTATCCGGCGAATGCACCTAATTTGACCAAGTCTGCATCTAATCTCTTTTACAGCAAATATCTTCATTTTATGAATTTATTTCAGTGTTTCAATCGATGATGGTCTCTATAATATGACAAAGCAGGCATATAAGCAATTAGTGCAACCCTAGCTGATAGCTGCTAAGAGACACACTGAACCTAATTTGACCAAATCTGCACCTAATCTGTACCAGATGTGCACCAAATGTCTACCAGATGGCCGTCGTGAAAACGGCTAATATGGATGGATGCTGGCTCAAGTTTGCTAGTGAGGCAGTCTTGCACTTTGTAATGTTATAAAGAATTGCTTCCCCTTAGTGCTGTATTTAATAGGAACTGAAATAAAATCCCAGGAAGAACATCAAACTTTTCTTAGATGTCCAGTAGGTATTTTCTAATTTTAGCTGCAAGTGTCGGAACACAGCTGCGCTTTGTGTCCGTCGCTGCTCAGCAAAATGTTCAAGTTCCGATCAGCCGCATCGACAGGCCCACATAGGTTTGCAGCCACGAAGTAAATGCCAGTGAGAGTCACTGATGGTGAACATTTGTCCACTGAATGTTTGCCGTGGCAGCTTTAAACGATTTAGCAACACACAATCTTTGCCACCGAAGCTAGAAATTTACTATAGTGGATATCTCGCGATGGCTAGTCCTAACCGTCTCATATACTTTGGAACGCCTACAAAATGAGAGCTGCCTGGTATGTATGTGGTCTGGGGTGAATCGTTATCTTCACAAAATGCTCAGTTAAGCTCCTGGGATAGGAGCGCCGCCAATCATAAATACAACCGTATCGGAGCGGTGTTGTTGGAACGACCTGATTTATAAAGGCGCCAGAATGAGCATAATTACATCAGCTATGAGCTAGAAAAGGCTAATATCCAAAAAGCGAGTGATCATGCAAATAAAATTCACATATTGAGCAGTAATTGAGTTACCAGCCAGATAGAAATATTATTTTATGAATAAAATCAGTATTTGCAGTTGAGTACAATAAGTTGGAACTAATTAGAGATATGGCAAAACCGGGGAAGCCTGGAAGTTTCCCCGGTCTGGGATACATCCACTCATTGGACGAGTGCTGTCGCTATTACAGATACCGCAACCGCCAGCAGCTCAGCCAGTACCACCGGGGGCCGGAATTTATCTACAAATCCAACGAGACTGCGAGCATGCCGTTGAATGCGGCAGGGGGATAATGGTCCCGGAGTTCAAGTTAGCCGACAGATTTGTCTTTGTTTGGTCTGAGGTCCCTCCGCAAGAGTTGGTGCTGAGTGCAGACGCGTCCGCGGCGAGGGCTGGAGGGTTGTAGTTTGGAACATAGTTCGATTGGCCGTTCGCCGGACTTTATTCACAAGGTATACCTAATTAGATGTGCCCACTCAGAGACAATGGAATGTGTCTAGATGGAGGTGCAAAATTCTATCAAGGAGCACTGTAGTGAGGGATTTCCCACTGTCAGGAGCAAACGGTGGCCATTTTGGGATTTGCATTTTTCTGACTGTGTCAGCATGTGGGGAGGGGTTTGAACGCGAACGACTAAAAAGACCAACCCGAGCCGAGCTAAATGGAAAGACGCATTGTGCTGCTCAATGCCTACCGAATGCTGCAAACCCGCCTATCTGTTTGTTTGTTGCTCATTTATGGTACGGTGAAGAAGTTGATGTTTTACAACGTGTGGGCGCCACTACAGGCCGCGGCATCAAATCAGTCTCCCTTTCTACTGCGATAGTCGCTTCCAACAGACCCTCAGTCACTTTTCACCGCCCTGAACTGCCGGCCATCCCCAGGGCACGGTGAGGTGCGGGCGATTATCCGTTGGACGCCACACCGCTGCACATTTTCGTGGGCGGTGGCGCGTCTTGCCCCGTGCTCCAGCACGGACTTGACCTCGTCTTCCGCCTCGTAATACTGGCTAGGAGGGTGCCTGCTTCGGTATGGGTCATTTGTCGACGTCGAATCCTTTTTCTGTTATGTTTGAAAGTGAACGAGCGACGGGTATTATTGAGCCTCCGTCGGCCGTCCTGTCCTTCCCCTCCCCTTTTCACTCACACCGAGGTGCTAATGGCTCACTCCGGCCAGGGCTCGGCCCCGCGGTGGAAAGGGTCCGATCACCGGGCGGATTGGACCCGAGGGAGATCATTCTGTCTCTGATCGTCGTGTCGTCAACATCCCCCGAAAAAGGCTACAACATGTTCCGTCAGAGCACCCCGCTTCCGCCAACTGAATCTCCATCTCCGGCGCCGGCAGCAACAGTGTCCGCTTCTTCCGAGTCCACGACAGCAGAATCGCCATCCCCCGGGCTGTCGGAAAAGGACACCCTTGAGAGCCTGAATCGGGAGATTCGCCAACTTCGGGCGGAGAAGGTGAGATAATCTGCATTTCTGGGGAAGCAATTTGATGTTGTTGCGGTGGTTATTTAGTTTTGCTCGTTTCGTCCCCTTCTTAGATTTGTACATACAGGAATTTATCGCCACCATTAGCCACCTTCCGCGCGGTGGGGGGGGGGGGGGGGGTTGCCCCCTCGTATATCTGAAACTACTGGACGGATCCGCAAAATTCAAACGGCGTTCGATAGCCCTGTCAAATTTGTACAAGGAACTGTAATTTCATTGACCTCGGGGTTAACGATGACGTCACAGGTCAGGTCAAAGATAAAATGTTTCACCGTACACGGGTCTTCTAGGGAATGCACTAAAACATCGAGAAACGCATTTTGTCAAAAATCAGCGGTAGGGCGTAAGTGGCCTAGTACATATGTTGCTATTGGAGGCCACTGATAGTACCAGGTCAGGTCACAAGCCAGGTCACCAAGGGTCAGCACTCAGCACATAAGTCCAACTTTACTAGGGTTGTGCGATGCATGTTTTATCGCCATTTTTCAGTTCCAGCTCAATGGTGTTGGTTATAAGACCATCAGGTACGGTTTAGGTCACTTTCTGGTGGAGGTCAGGTCAATAGCGGTTCAAAAAAGATCACATTTCAAAGTTAATAGTTTTGCATAAAATGGGTATTGATTCGATGCAGCTCGTCACGGCGAGTCTAATGGTGGTCTTCGTTTTGCGCTATGTGGTCTAGAATTGCTAAAAATTGAGTTTGAAAATTTGACGTCATCAATTTTGAACAGTTTTGTTTTTGCTATAACTTGGCCGAAAAAAGAGGCATCGATCTCAAATTTGGTATGTGGATAGAAAGAGGTAGGGACTTTCACAAACATTCCGTTTTTTCGAAATTAAAAAAAAAAACTTTGGGATTTTTTGCTATTTTATTAAAAAATTACCATTTTTCCAAAGACTATGAAAGGTTGGCCGCTTATGATGTCGGAGTGACGTCACATCTGGCCATTTTCGACCAAGAAGGTTTCGCGGGAAGAGCTGTCAGGCACAGCTTTAGAGATACAGAAAATTGTTTTAGACATACAAGGTGTAGAATTAACAGAGCTATGATACTGTTAGGTCTCAGATTTTTAAAATTACTTTTTTCATTTTTGGGGGTGATAATCCAGCAATTTTTTTTTTACAATCCGAGATAACAGTTTCATAGCTCTGGTAATTCTACACACCTTTTATGTCCAAAACAATTTTCTGTAGCTCCAAAGCTGTAGGCCTGACAGCTCTTCCCGCGAAACCATTTTTTGTCGAAAATGGCCAGATGTGACGTCACTCCGACATCATAAGCGGCCAACCTATCATAGTCTTTGGAAAATGCTTGGTCACAATGTATTGTGTATGTATAAGCTATTCCCGGGAGGGTACTGAAAGTTTGGTGACGATCGGCGCAGCGGTTCTGGACTACATCGAAAAAATTAAAGGGGGGAAATGTCCCCCCACCGCCTGGAAGGCTAAGGTGTACTACCCGTCGTCGCATCAATGGGTGCCCACTTATTTTTTTTTAAGTGTGTCACTCCTTAACCGGTAGGTACCTAATCTCCTTTACAATGGGAATTATTTGAAACTTAATCCTTCTCGTTCTTTTCTTTCAGGCTAGAGCTCAGAAGGAGATATCTCGATTGCGCTCGGAGGCTACAGTCATCAGACAAGGGTTCCTCGTGTTGGCGGCTGATATGCCCAATCCGCGGCCGGAGGTCCGGGCCTATTTACGATGGGTCTTACTAGGGGGCATCTGCCCGCCGCTCCATTGGTCAGAAGAGTAGCAGCTGAATACACGCCCACGCTTGGGCTCCGGTTTAAGAGTGTTTGTTTTGGAAGCGGTTGATGTATAGAGAAGGAGAGAGAGAGAGAAAGAGAGAGAGGGAGAAAGAGAGAGAGGGGGGTAGAGAGAGAGAGAGAGAGAGAGAGAGAGAGAGAGAGAGAGAGAGAGAGAGAGAGAGAGAGAAAGAGAAAGCGAGAGCACCTTCACTGCTGTACCGGGCTTATTTAGAACACAACTGTAAGGAGGCACACGGTCGACTCCTCCATTTGTTCAAGTAGGTAAGTAGGTAAGTACCACGATTCGTGTGATTTCAGTGTTCCCGTTTCCTTGATCGATTGAAATGAATACGACACTGAGCCATCCACATATCGCTGGCCATACAGTTTCCGACCCACTCCGATCGACCGACTACATCTGGCCTAATTACACGCGCAGTGGAAGGGGGGGGGGGGGGCGGATTTCGCCCACCCCTCCTGTTTTTCGCCAACAACTCGCGCCGCAAACATAATGTTAATGTGAAATTTTGGCTACCTGTCCAAAATTGAATTGCGGATCTTCTCGTGCAAGAAATAAGAAAATCGGTTCACAACTTTTCTAGTAATAGCGGTGTAAAGTCAAACATCCTGCCGCCGCGGCGGCGCGGCGGCCGGCGCTAGCCGTTACGCGCCGCCTGAATTGTAGACTGTGCCGGGGCGGGACGATTCCGTCTTTGCATCGCGCTCCTTACCGTTGATTACATTAGATTAACGTCAAATTTAATGAGAAGACTGACAAATGTACAGGTAATCATATGGTTAAAGAATTTTGAAAATCGGCCGGTAACAACTTGAGATATGACTAATGAGTGTGTAAACATAAAGTTGTGATTGCCGCGTTTCCCGCGTCGGCCGATCCCGCCTCAGCCGGCGACATCTTACCCTTAGCAGGCTTCTAACTGCCATATTTATTGTTGGATTAATTAGAAATTCAACAGACATACTCACAAATGTTTAATCTTTCGTATAGTGAAAGAAAAAAGAAAATCAGCCGGTAACTTTTTGAGTTATCGGCGTGTAAACGCAAAAAAGTCACTCATATGGCAGATTTGACCACATTTGAACCTCATTTGACCTTGAAGATATTGACCTAGGGTCATGAAATTCACACACAAGAGAGTTCCCCATGGCCTTCATTTACCCTCCAAATTTCGTCGTTCTAGCTCCAGTGGGAGCTGAGATCTTAGGGGGGGGGGGCGACATCCGCCCCCCTTCCACTGGGCGTAGTACTCGCAACCCTTCCACTGCGCGTGTTAACCCGGCCGGGCCCGGGGGGTAATCCCAACCACCGCAGCCCGGGGGGGGGGCGTTTTTCGCCCCCCCCTGTCTAACTCCGTAAATAAGGGAGATACGGAAACAAAAGCGATACCAAACGAAAGGTCCCTACGAGACGATTCTAACGCACCTAAAATTTTTGACCTCAGGTCAATTTTCAAGGTCAGAGGTCAAGGTCAAAGGCAAAAACCGGCACATGTGTAGTGATCTCAAAGTAAGCCTTCTAGAGGACGGCGGGATGCAGCAAACCGGCAAAATTGGGTGTCAAACGAAAGAAGAGAATCTGAGGATTCGGAAAATGTGCTCAAACTCAAAGGTCAAGATCAAGGTCACGCCCAAAATTGACCTCAAACTTTGCTTTTGTTCGTACATCTTGCGTGCTAACTTCCAAAATGTTTTGAAATGTTTTGAGGCTTATCAGTTCCGTATTTGTGGTTCATCGTACGATACAAGGCTGCTCAAAGGTCAAGGTCACAGAAGAGTATCCTTGCTAGAGGCTTTTTCACTGATTCAAGTTAGTAATAATAAATAAGACAATTTCGCCATCTGGAAGCTCTAAATGGAGGCTTAGAGGAAAATAGGTGCCAGATTCGTGATCAGCGGGTACATATTCATCATAAACGACCTTTCATGTGTCAAGGTCAACCAAAGGTCATTCGAGGTCACATGAGGTCAACATAAAATTTGACCTTTTCCAAACAAAATATATATCATTCGACGCGGCTTGACAAGGCGAATGCAATGGTACCACTGCCGTAGCTCTAGAACCATTTTTGTCGAAGTTATTTGCGAAAAACTAAAACCACAACTCGGGGTCGTTGACCTGACCTCTGACCTCAGGTCACCCAGGGGGGGGGGGGCAGAGGTCGGATTTTCACCGTTCACAGGCATTTCAAGAAATGTGTTGTGAAATCGAGTAAATTGGTAAGTTTTTGAAAACCATCGATGGTACGGTTCTCCAGGGTATTAGTCGTAGGTCGCTCGGCGAGCGGGAGGGCAACCAGTTCCGCCCCTGTATCGCGTGACCCCTTGCTCCGCCCAGTTACGCACGAGCGTACTCCACGCCGCGTAGTAGCGTGGGGAGGGGAAGGTTAGAATGGTGGCATGTGTAGAGGCTAGAACCGGTTTCCACCGCCATGCCACCGCCCAGCGACATGGAGCGGGGTCAGTGACCAGGGCGCAGGGAAAGGTCAGAGGTCAACTATAACGCAGAGCTTTGTGTCTCCCTCCCCTCCGCGTGTAACGACGCACGACAGCGGCCGGCCGCCGATCAGGCTTGACATGTCAAGGTCACCCGCAGTCAACGGGCTCAGAGGGTTGGTCGAGTGCGCGTCCGTGGCTGACGATAGTCTCGACCATGTGCTATGGTGCCGATAGACTAGCGTGGGTAATAAGTTTTTGTTCAGTGCATATGGCTGCTGGGGTGTGTCATCTTGATATATGATGCCTTGTAACGTGTATGATACGCTTAAAACCTCGCTGGCACTGCAGTGGCCGAGAGGAGAGGGGGGGGGGGCGGGGAGGCGGGTGCCGCCTCCACATGTTTATTTTTGTTGATAGCTGCGAAAGCTGAAATTTGGCAAGCCTGACCTTTGATTCAAGCTGAATTTTTATGACAGCAGCTGTATTTTCACCCTCGCCCATATTGGTGTTTTGCCAGCGTCTATCGTAAGGGGGGGGAGGAGGGTCCATTGGACCCCTTTGCCTTTCAGCCCTTGATCGAGCTAACGCTTCGCGGAAAAAGAGCGTGTTGCCCGTGACGAGAGGAGGCCGATGATACCCAATTTCAAGGTCCTAGGTCATTGGTTGACAGGTCAATATAAATCAAAAGTCGGGGAATCGGGACCTGTTAGAGCTTCGTAAAGTGAAGCTGTTATAGGGTTTTGCGGGGTGCTGATCACGAATTTCAAGTTAGTGTTGATCACAGATGATGTTTTCGTGCATCAGGTCACATGTTACGAGGGAACCAAAACTACTTCTTAAATGTTCAAACGGTTTCTAAATGCGAAATCAACTCCAAAATCTACCCTAGAAACATGTAGAACTCGAAAGAGTGAACAAAGGTCATCAAAGATCAGTGACCTGACTGACCTTCACGTGACCTTGATACCCACTAGAATCCATGGGATCAACATCCTTTCACATGTTTGATCGCTTAAAGCCACAAAAAGACAATAAAACGCGCTCTACGCGAAATACGCCAAAACGCGATTCCGGCCAAACATGGTTTCGGAAAACAAATCACAAGTCAAAAATCTTTTGAGTCAGGGTCATATAAATTACAGGGTAGGCGTAATATTGATTAACTCGAGGGCACTGAAAGTGTCGTCGCAATCAGCCGCTTTTTGCGCGAGTTATTTGCGAAAAACTGAGGGTAGGAGGGCTGTTCGACACCCTCCTACAAGTGCGAAGGTTAAGGTCAGGCCGTTGACCAATGACGTCAAAAGTGAACCTCTGTAAGGTCCCAAAATGTCGCGACGTCGTAGCACCTTTCGTGTCAGGGGACTTTTCAACGGGGAATGAAGCTTATATGATCTAGTACTATCTCACAGAGGCCTCACAACTTGTATGTAGCTATCTCGTATTTTTCTTAAGAGTGACCTGAAGTCAGGTCGGACACGCAACCTCACGATTGTCAATCAGTTGGGAAATATGAAAGCTGTTATTTTGGCGCTAGGAGCCATCTAAAGCTGTCTCAAGCGCATTAATTCGCGATTTTATACGATATTTGCAAGCCCCAGCATTCACTTTTCCATTCTTAAAGCTATAGGCGACTTCATTTATGACGTCACTAAGGTCACAGGAGTTTTCACCAAAAAGTCCCGATCAAATTGAGCTAGCGAGTCGGGAAGCCACCAGTGGACTTGTGAGGACCTACCGAATCGAAGAAGCTACATATATGACCTCCTTGGGCCAGCTTCGTGGCCTGAGTGGCTCTGCCCTGACCATGACCTGATGTGAACATGCACCTTAAATTGACCTCAACGAAAACAAAGCGTATACTATTCGACGCGCTTGAAGTTGAGCATGCAAAACTCGATGGTGCCATGATGTTGGCTCTGTAACCACTTAATTAAGTGGTGAAGTTGTTTACCAAAAACCGATCCCGCGACTTTGAGCTGACCTCAGAGTTTATCGGTTGACCCGAGACACTCAAATCGGGCACCAGTTGCTGCATCTCATACGACGCACGCGCTCAGTTTTATCCGCAAGGCGCTAGCTCAATTAGGGGCAAAAAGACGGAGAGGGGTCGCAATCAACCCCCCCTCCGCCGGGGTATATACTCGTATGCAGAAAACCCAAAATTCCGTTGAGGGTTAAGCACTGAAGTGATATTATGATGCGAGAAGGTAGTTATAGGTCAAAACAAGTATGCACACGAGCGGGTGTGAATAAAACTGTGTTCGAGGTATGCCTTTTTATTATACATTCGATTTGCTTTAGTTATTGGTAAGAACAGATACAACCAAGAAGAGCGCCCCTGAAGAAAAGGTGGCGCACCGGACAGGTGCGATTTTAAGGTCTAAGGTCAGTCGGGGACCTCTAAGTTCGGATTAAGCGCTGCATGTTAGGGGTAAAAAATGGGGGCAAAAAGGCATCCCGATTTTGGCAGCATCGTCATGCTTTGTCATGGCACTGATCCACTCCCTCGGCCGAAATATTATTACCCTTTTGTATGAGTTCTGGCATAATCCCGCACATTATGCTGCATGTTGTTTGCCATGAAAAAACAATGCACGTTCAGCTACGTTCTACGCAGTATACGCACTAACCTAACCACCATCCCATCATGCACCACTAGCCACCATCCCGTTCTGTGCCCCCTTCCACCCCACACGAATCAGCCGAGACACTAGTCAGTCGGGCTAGCGCTATCCTATCCTCCCTTCCTGACTGCACAGCGCTTAAACCCAGAGCCGAGACTTCCCGAGCGCGACCTCTGACCCCACGCGGTCCGAAGGGTCGGCCGATGCCTAAGGGCGCGCCGCGCGCCGGCCACCCGGATAGCCTCTGCCAGGTCTCCCTTTCATACACCGTTTACTACGCGCTCGATTCATTCATGATTCTGTGTTTCTGCGTCCCTCTCGTTAGATGGCTCTACTGATGTCATAGGCGATCCCAGGAAGATTGCGGCCAGAATACCCCAAACGGCAGAAAATGAGGTTTTTGGTGAATATCTCGGAAAGTATTTGGCATACAACGATGCAATTTCACAGTCTCGTGGTAAATGTGCATACACATAATTCGGGTTGATACTTATGCATTTGAACATTATATAGGACCAGATATGTCCGAAAAAGCAAAACCAACAAGACTTTTACTGGAGAGCCGTACATTGTTCGTCAAACACATACCTCACTATCTGAGGTCACTGATACCAGGTCAGGTCACAGAGGTCAGGTCACTGGGGGTCACCTGGGGGTCACAATATGAAAGTGTCGTGTGATACATGTTTTATGGTCCATTTTACATGACAAATGCGATTATGTGGGTCAGGCAGCCTTTGGGGCCAGCTTAGGTCACGTTTTGGTGAAGGTCAGCTCAAGGTCAGGTCATATTAGGTCAAATTTCAAAGTTGATATTTCTGCATAAAATGGGTATCGATTCGATATGCAGCTCGTCACGGGGAGTCCAATGGTGGTCTTTGTTTTGCCCTACGTGGTCTAGAATTGCCAAAAATTGAGTTTGAAAATTTGACGTCATCATTTTTGAACATTTTTTTTCGCTATAACTTGGCCAAAAAACGAGCTATCGATCTGAAAATTGGTATGAAGATAGAAGACGGTAGGTAATATCACATATATTCCGGTTTATTCGAAACTCAAAAAACTTTTTGGATTTTTTGGCTAATATATCAAAAAATCGCAATTTTTTTATTTTTGGGGTCAAAACTGAAAAATTTCAAAAATCCGAGTTAACAGTTTTGTAGCCCTATCAATTCTACACCTTTTATGTCTTGATCAATTTTCTGTATCTTCAAAGCGTAGGCATGACAGCTCTTCTCGCGAAGGTCTTTTTTTCGGTCGAAAATAGCAGAACATGACGTCATTCTAACGTCATTTGTGGCCAACCTATCAAAGTCTCTGGAAAATTTTTGGTCCCAATGTGTAAAATTGATGCCCGGAGGGGTCCTGAAAGTTTGGTGGCGATATCTCCAGCCGTTTAGGAGATATTGGCGGAAAAGGACAGGGGGGCCGTTTCGGCCCCCCTACGGAGCGCGGGTTAACCCTCGCCGGCCGAGGGGGTGCCGCCCCCCCATAGGGTTTTTCCGCGATAGCTCTGAACAAGCTGGCGATAGAGAGTTGAAACTTGGCATACCTGACCTTTGATTCAAGGCGGATCTTTTGCCACCAACCGCTGTTTCGGGTCAGGTCAGGTCACTGACCTATGACGTCATAAGTGAGCCTCTGCATGGTCTTCAGATGTCGCAACTTCGCAACGCCCTCTCTGCCAGAGTAGCTTTCACAGGGAAATGAAACTTGCAAGGATCTAATATCCATTACTAGTCTCACAACTTGTATATCTCGGATTTTTCCTAAAAGTCACATGAGGTTAGGTCATTTTCGTGACCTCACCATTATAAGTCAATGGGCAAAAATGAAAACTGCTATTCTGGCGCCGGAAACGATCTCCAACTATCTCAAGCACACAGAATCATGATTTGGTGCACTCCTTGCAAGGTAAGATGCGTCACTTTTGCAATGCTGACCTTGCGTGACGTCATTTATGACGTCATTAGGGTCATATTAGTTTTCCGTCAATAATTCCCGATCAAATTGAGCTAGCGAATCGGGAAAGTCACCAATGGACTCAGGAAGACCTGCCAAATTAAATGATATGCGACATGACCTACTTTGACCGATTTCGTGACCTGGGGTGCTGACCTGACCGTGACCTGAGGTCAACACTCCAAGTTGACCTCACCCGACTCTGCGACCGTTTTTTGCGAAGTTATTCACGAAAAACTGAACCGTACCTTGGGGCACTTGACCTGACCTCTGAGGTCACCGGTTGACCTAGGACCTTAAAATCGGGTATCAACCTCTGCGTCTCGTAACGGCGCCACGTTTTTGTTTTTTTCCGCGACGCGCTAGCTCCACCAGGGGTGAAACCAGAGGTGAAACAAAGGCCGAATCTTCCACCGACAGCGTTTCTTCCACCACTAGATTTCCACCAAGTTTCCACCTTAACCCGCGCCCGGCTGGGGGTCCTGGATTTCCACGCCCTGCTGGGGGGGGTGTTTGAACACCCCCCCTTGTAACTCGGCTCCTGGGCCACGTAGCGATACGCGGAAGGCGGCGTTCGAAAGAGCGTCAAAAATAAGGACGAAATCACTTCGGTCAATTTTTTGGTCAGGTCAAAGGTCAGGTCACCAGAGGTCATTGAAGGCAAAATTTCGCCGATTTCCAGGTCGAATGTCGAAAATTTCCAAGAAGCCAACGCATAACTCGGGAACCAATAGAGCTACAGCGCCGCAGAAAAACGCATTCGATAGCCCTATTAACGCCCTTTCTGAGTAATTCTCTCAGATTTGACCTAACGTCAACGGTTTTGCCTGCAGGGGGCAAAAACTGCAAAAATAGCCGATTTTTTCGGAAACAGTTTTCTGCAATAACTTTTGACCCAAGCCTTGTACGAGCTTACTTTTACCGGCATCGCGTTCCTCTCGTCAAGACGCATCGAATGAACTATAACTTGACCTTGAAAGGTCAACTTGAAAATTTGACCTCAGGTCAAGGTCATGACCTGACCGGAAAGGGTCATGTTGCATATCAGTCGATCCGTATCGTCGAGCTGAACACATCTAAGGTGTTTTCATCGCTCTAGCATGCCTCTATCAAAAGTTATTTGCGAAAAACTGTTAGATACCATTCGTGACCTAAGATGACCTCAGGGCATAAACAAGGGTCACGGACACCATTTTCATGTTCTGTGTGTCTAAACCACTTGTAATTCGGTGTTTGGGAGTGTTTATAATGTCTTTCGTCCAAAAGAGGCGCATTTCAATTTTCTCCCATTGACTTATAATGGGGAAGTCGCAAAATTGACCTGACCTTAGGTCATCGATATCAAAATTCTGAGATATACATTTTGTACATGCTATTGCTCTTAGCAATCGCTGAAAGTTTCAAAGCGATCGGTCACTCGGTGTAGCTATGACAGACATTGAAACTTTTTATGAGGTGAGGTCACTTCAAGTGACCTGGTGACCTGACCTTGAATGACCTTGGTCTGAAATTTTCACAACATGTGTAGAATTGATGTATGATAAGGTGTACCAAAAACGGCGGCGCTCCGCGCCGCCGTTTTTGAGATATTCGCGAAAAACCACAAGGGGGGGTGTTCAAACACCCCCCCCCCCCCAGCAGGGCGCGGGTTAATAGGTAAATAGTAAGTGAGCTGTTGCCTGTTTCTCACTGAAGCGATTTAGAACTCCTGCTTCCACGTAACCAAGAAAACTATATTCCGCTCTCCTCCGAGCCTCTCAGCCAACTGCCCAGCAATCACACTCCCAACCAGACCATAGCTCTCACGCACACGTCATCGCGCATCATCATTAGCCAATCACATTGTCATACGTCATCCCCAGTGCAACTGATCAGGGGGCGTAACCCGGCCGCCCCGACGTCCGGCGGCGGCGGCGGATGACTCACACTGGGTCACCGGGTCACGTCCCGCAGCTCAGTCTCGCCGCGCGCCTGACTCATACGCTACTCACATTCCTTATTGTGTCCATCATGCTACATCACCCCCTGGTTCTAAAGAACCACATCACACATCATGTCATTCACTCAACTCATCAAGTACATCCCCCGTCACAACAATACCATATCTGTCTGGTTCCCGTCGCTCACGTACGCTGCGTCGCAATGTAACGGTCGCGGGTGATTCTCCCTCGGACAATTCGCCGTCTATTGGCTCGCTCCATTCCGTAGACACCTCAGACTGGGTCGGTGGATCGACCCTCGCGGTCTGATCGACGGTCGGCGGCCGCGTGTGTGTCTCCGTTACATCAGTCGGAGGTGTTGCCATATACATGCCATCACATTCATTGTCACTGTCCTCGCACCGCTCCGCCGTCGGGGCGTGCACAGTCACCGGTCTCGGGGCATCAGTCATGGTCAAACGGTGGCGGAGATTGCGCACATGACGCGGCACATTGTCGACTTCGACTGTTTGAGCCGACACGACGCCTGTCACAGTTCCCTCGTCCGATTTCACAAAACATCGGTCGCCCCGCCGCCGGACCCACACTTTGTCCCCCACCTGGTACACACCTGGTGTTTTCAGCGGCAGGGCGTCGCACTGTTGTCCATTTGTTCGTCCGCGGGGCGTCACGTCAACGTCGCGGCCAGGGTGTCGGAACACCTCGTTGATCGGAGCTGTTGCCGGGTCGCTGCCATCTTTAGGTGTCACGTTGTAGCGGTGGACTGCCTCAGCGACGGAGCAGGCCTGCCGGGCCACCATCACTTTGATGGTCCGGTGATGGCGTTCTACAACGCCGTTACCGCCGGGCTCATAGGCGGCGCGGAATCGCATCGCCACGTCCCAGCGGGCCGCGAGCGCCATCATAGCCCGGCCGCGGAACTCCGTCGCATTGTCCGTGAGTATTTCGGCCGGGGCTCCACGCTCTAGAAACACGTCCTCGAGATGCTGGACGATCTCCAGAGCCCCCGACCGGCGCAGCCGGCGCCAGATGGCGTATCGCGACGGCCCGCAGTCCACCAACGTCAGGTACGGGTGGCCGTGCAGGTGGGTGACGTCCATGGCCAGGCGATCCCACGTACGTTCCGTCTCAAGTGACCCACCAAGCCAGCGTTCCGGAGCCGGGTCAATCGACGCGCACGTCTGACACCGCCTGACCACGTCCCGCACGGCCGTTTTCGTGACGCGCCTCACCCCCAGCTCCCGTCGGGCGTACCACAACGTCCTCCTCACGCCCTGGTGGCCAATGTTCTCGTGTATGGCGCGGATGTCGCCCGGCGAGGCACTCGATGTGATGGCTGCGACAGCAGCCGGTGGTGACTTGTCGGGCGAGTCGGCGGCCGGCCGATCGGCGGCCTGTAGCCAGGCGTTGGGCACCCGCGTCATCTCATCGGCGCGGTTGGCAGCTGAGCCGACCAGTTCGATGGTGACCTCAAGTTCGTACTCGGCGACCAGCTGACGGAAAACAGCCACGCGCCGTCGGATAAGCATTTCGGACTGCCCCTTGGTGCGCAGCCTTGCCTTGCCCGACAGCGCATCGCTCAGCCAGCGGTGCACAGTCACCGAGTCCGTCCGGAGCGTCAGGCGACGGAAGCCCCATGCCAGGGCCATATTGACGCCGTTGAGAGCGGCGTCCAACTCCGAGATGTTGATGTGAACGTCCCGCTCAGCTTCGGCCCGTAGCCAGGACGCATCCTCGATGATGGCGTCTGTGACAGGGTCGGCTAGGACGACGCCGCGAGCGATGGAGCTGGCGTCAGTCCACACGGTGACATTTGACCCTGTCACACACCACTGGCCGCATGCCGGGTCACAGGCTATCACCCTTCGCGACACTTCATCCACTTGGCGTTGCAGTTCCTCATTGACGATCGGAGTGTCCCAGTCCGGGCTGAGACGGTTGGCTGTCCGCTTCATCCACGCAGCGGCCGGCCGTAGCCAGCCCGCGACCGGCACGTGAGATGTCAGTTGGCCGGCCCACGCGAAGACAGTTCGTCGCGTCAGCACAGGTGGAGGCTGCGTGGGTGACCCTCCGTCCCTGGTCCACTGGAGCGCCGGCCCGTCACTTTCGGCGACACGGAGGCCCAGCATGCGTGCGCCGCTCGCAACTCGCTCCGGCGGCTTACACTCGAGTCCGAAACGGGCAAAATGCTGGGCCACCTCGTCAGCTGAAACGGCTGCTTCGTTGACCAGCAGATCATCGGCGTAGGGCCGCACCGCCTCAGCCAGCCTCGGGTTCTGCGCGAGCACCTCCCTGACCACCGACTTCATGATCAGAGGCGCTATGGAAAGCCCAAAGCCGACCCTCGTGAGGCAGTATCGTCGCCCCCGCACGATGACCGTCTGGTACGGCCACAGGGCCGGGTCCACACGGAGCTGAAGAAAAGCTTTCTTCAGGTCGAGGACCGCGACCCGGCGGCCGTGGCGTCGCCATCGTCGAAGCTCCTCCACGCAGACGTCCGCGTCAGCCGTGTGAGGCGTCAGGTGTTGATTAAGCTCTCGATAATCAAGCACCGGCCGCACCTTGTTCTTTGCCGCCTGAGTTACCGCCATTAACGGGAGCAGTCCCTGTGCCGGACCGCACACCGTCTCGTCATATTCACGTAGCCAGCCCTCACTTATCCACAATGACAGCTCGGCATCGAATTTCTCTCGCGCACCCCTCGGTATGCCGTACTGAGCCGTGGAGTTGCGAAGCGGTGGCGGGTCCACACCGCCCGCCCACTTCCAGCGAACCGTCCACACCCCGGCATCGAACACTGCCGTGAAGTCGGTCTCGTTGATCCTCAACTCTGGCCCCATGTCGACCGCTCGGCACGCCTCCCGCTCCGGTGGCGCCTCACGCTGCACGCCCGCAGCCGTGCCGACCGCTCGGCACGCCTCCCGCTCCGGCGGGGCCTCACGCTGCACGCCCGCAGCCGTGCCGACCGCTCGGCACACCTCCCGCTCCGGCGGAGCCTCACGCTGCACGCCCACAGCCGTGCCGACCGCTCGGCACACCTCCCGCTCCGGCGGGGCCTCACGCTGCACGCCTGCAGCCGTGCCGACCGCTCGGCACACCTCCCGCTCCGGCGGGGCCTCACGCTGCTCCGTAGCAGCCGGGTCTTCGCTCCCGAAGCGAACAGACCCCCCACTCACACTTACGCCACGCAGAGCGTCGATGCCTGTCATACCTAGCAACACGTCCACGCCTAACAACCGGGCCGGTACGACGACCGCCCGCACATTCACTGTCGTTCCGCGCACACCCAGGCTCACCGCAGCCTGCCCACAACACCGAACTGGGCTGTCGTTGACAGCCACCAAACTGGTGTCACTCTGCTCCCATTGGGACACCACGCCCTTCCACACCACTGTCTCACTACATCCCGTGTCGACCAGTGCTCGGCACCTGTGCCCATTCACGGTGATGGCGATGATGGGCGTTCCCGGGCTGTTGCGGCGGCTGGCGACGGCGGAGCCCGTGGCGCTGATGTAGCGCCGTCGCCACGTCCGTTTGGGCAGAGCCGGGCGATGTGGCCCATCTGGCCACAGGTCCAGCACCGCAACGGTGGCCGGCGAGCAGTTCCTCTGGTCGCCCGCTGTTGCTGTACCGATGGTGGCGGCAGTTGGACGGCAGCCACCGGTGCAGCCGCTCTCTCCCTGGCAGTTATCGCCAACGTCGACCGGGCGATGGCGACCGCTCGCTCCAGGGTGAGCGTGCCATCTCCAACGCTGTTTCGTACCGTCAGCCGCACTTCCGCTGGCAGGCCTTGTAGGAAATGAGCCGTCATGACCGTGCTGGACACATAGCCGATTAGAGACATCAGACGTTTGATGGAGCCCAGGTAAGCATCAACAGACTCACCCGGCTCCAGACGTCGACGATATAGCTCTGACATTGCGGCGTCCGGTCCCATGGCAAAGGCGCTGTGCAGCTTGTCACGGACGATCTCAGCGTCTCGTTGCTCGGTCTCGGAGAGGCTGGCCCAAACTTCGTACGCCTGGTCCCGCAGGCGCGTCGGCAAAACAGCGGCCAGGGAAACGCGTCTCAGGGCGCACAGCTGTTTCGCCTGCTCCAGCCATTTGACGACGTCACCGGTACCGTCGAACTCTGGTATTGCCCGCAGATCGAAAGCAGGTGCAGGAAGTTCGGGTTCCGCCGCATTGGTATCGACCACCGCGGCACCACTCTCCTCTTCCACGTCAGACATTGTCACAAGCACTGATTGTTCTGAGAATGGCCGAAATAGCTTGAAGCGATTTAGAACTCCTGCTTCCACGTAACCAAGAAAACTATATTCCGCTCTCCTCCGAGCCTCTCAGCCAACTGCCCAGCAATCACACTCCCAACCAGACCATAGCTCTCACGCACACGTCATCGCGCATCATCATTAGCCAATCACATTGTCATACGTCATCCCCAGTGCAACTGATCAGGGGGCGTAACCCGGCCGCCCCGACGTCCGGCGGCGGCGGCGGATGACTCACACTGGGTCACCGGGTCACGTCCCGCAGCTCAGTCTCGCCGCGCGCCTGACTCATACGCTACTCACATTCCTTATTGTGTCCATCATGCTACACTCACTACCGCAAATGTAAAAAAAAACTTCTTGTCCCTTTGATAATATGGCTATACTTTAACGATATACCACTTATTATGTTTTATCAACATTATCACCAATCTGACAACCATTTAATGACAAGAACGCTTCACGGCGATATTGACTTATAGAGAAACTCATACGCTTGAGCGATTATCTAAAACGGCGATCCGTAAAAGAGCGACTTCAGAGGAACAGCTCGACTATTCTAAGCTAATGGGAATTGGAAAAGCAGAAATTGGCGATTCCTCGCGAAGTATACTTAAGCTTGCTAGCTTGCTTCGTTCTCGAGATATCACAGGGGCCGGGGGGGGAGCAGGTATTCGCCCCCGTCTACGAAGTTGACGCCGAACCCCGTCGGTGCGCGGGGCTCCGGAGTCCGGAGAGTCCGGTTTTATCGTGAAAAATCAACAGTGTCAACGACAAATCACTTATGCACATCGAAACGAAAAACAAAGCCTTCAAAATTAACCTGTAAGTATGCTACGAAATGCCTACTTCGATATGGACTCCTTACTGTTATTTTTTTATTAAATAATACTGCGAAACGAGTGCATTTTACATAAAAATGTAGACTGCCACAAATCGTCAAATTTTGATTTTCTTATCACCATTAGCCTAGAATAATATGTTTTGTTTTGTTTTGTTGGGTTAGGTCCTTTTGGTCTGACGAGATTATTTCAGGACAGGAAGGTTCTACACGGTGAGACCCGTCCAGTGCCCAGTGCCGGAAGCAGTCAGCTGTTCGTTGCTTCCATGTCCCCTCGCACGCCGAGCGCGCCGAGCGGGCCGCCGGGGGAGGGGTGAAGGGTCAGCAGGGTCGGCCGGCGTTGTTGGTTTAGCTGGCTACCGGCGTCTCAGGGCGCCGGCCGGTCCCGGTAGGGGTTGGTCGTCATGACAACCGACGGCGGTTGGTAGGGGGAGAAGCAAGGGGAGAAGTAGACGTTAAAAGCATCCGCGTCGGAAGGAAAATAGTCCTGCAGATATTGACGATTTTCTTGCAAGCGAGAGCAGATAGACGCATGCAAATAACACCGTTAGATGCGTCTTTCAAAAATGCATAAATCCTCACTTGGAAATAAATACTTCTCCACAATTAATACACCACAGCGGCTCCAGCGCAGGGCCTCCTCTAACATACCCACTGGGTGGGCAAATGCCCACCCAGTCACCACAATTGCCCACCCAGTGGCGTCGATTTGCCCACCCAGAAGCAAATGCTAAAATAAAGGTCAGGCCGGGCGTCGGGTACCACCACTTCGGTTTCCCGAAAAAAAAAACTGTAACGGTTTAGGGGTCCTAAGGCCAGCGGAGGGCCCTCAGAGGTCAATGCGGGTCCTCCACGGTCAATGCGGGCGCTTGACCGCCACTGAAGGGCCCTCAGAGGTCAGTGTAGAACCCTCAAAGACCGGCATGGGGGCTGTTGATAGCTGGCGTGGGATTCTAGAGCCTCGTGACAATCGAATGAGGCCCATGGGAACCGATGGGTCCCCATGGGCGAATACGCCCATGGGGACCCATCGGTTGTTGGGGGGGGGGGGGATAAATGATATGATTACCCCCTGATTTGCCTTTGGGGGCCATGGCCCTGATGCCCCCCCCCCCCGCGACCGCCGCTGGTTTGATGCACTTTTTGTCGACAGTACTGACGCATAGTTTACAGTCCAAACTCCAAACGTGCATTGTCGTGAATTGCTACCGCCTGTATTACGAGCAGGGGCGGCTCCAGGAAAACTCGAAGGGGAGGGTCATGAATCGAAGTGGTGCCCCTACCGATGCCCAAAATTAAAACATCACAGATTTCCGCCACTTAAAATGGGGCACTTGGTGGTGCCCCATTTTCAGCTTCGTTTATTTTTTGATATTTTTAATTTTTGGTCAATGTTTTAAACACAACCAAATTTGCCAATTGTAAGCAAGTATATATCAAAATGCTATGCGTTTATACGTTGTGGACACTGAGCGTTATCGCCAGGAGCTCACTAGCTGAGCTCACCAGGAACGTTATCAGGTAAGCGAATCGTTGTCAGTCAGACGAACTTGTCCCTGGCATCTAAAGGGCCTGTCGTTGGCACCTCGGGCTTGTTGGGGACACCACAGTCCTGCCAGGGGAACCACAATCCTGTCAGGGGCACCTGCGGCCTAGTAGGGGCGCCACAGGCCCGCCAGGGGCACCACAGGCCTAGCAAGAACACCACAGGCCTGTTAGGGGCACCACGGGCCTGTTTGGCCCATGGGTACCCCCGGGGGTAGGGGCACCACAGTCCTTCCAGGGGCACCGCAGGCCTGTCAGGGGCACCAGCGGCCTAGCAGGGGCACCAGTCAACACATGTCTGCCAGGGGCACCACAGACTTGCCAGGGACACCATCGGCCTCGCATGGGCACCACCGGCCTCGCATGGGCACCACCGGCCTCGCAGGGGCACCACCTGTGAGGGGGTACTTAAGGCTTTTCAGGGGCACCACAGTCCTGTCAGGGCCGAGGGGTACGAGCGGCCTAGCAGGGACACCACAGGCCTGCCAGGGGCACCACAGACCTAGCAAGGGCACCACGGGCCTGTCGGGGGCACCATGAGCCTGTCAGGGGCACCTAGGCTTGTCAGGGCCCAGGGGCACCACAGTCCTTCCAGGGGCACCACAAGCCTGTCAGAGTGTCAGGGGCACCAGCAGCCTAGCGGGGCCACCACAGGCCTGCCAGGGGCACCGTTGGCCTCGCAGGGGCCGACGGTGCCCCAGCATAGGCACCACCGGCCTCGCAGGGGCACCAATGGCCTGTCAGGTGCACCATGGTGCTCTTGCTAGGCCGATGGTGCTCCTGACAGGCCTGTGGTGCCCTTGACAGGTCCGTGGGTGCCCCTGCTAGGCCGGCGGTGCCCCCGGGCCCCAAGGGGGGCATGACCCATGTGATCCCCCTTGGATCCGCCACTAATTACGAGTAGATTAAGATCAATATAAGGCCGTATATAGATCAAGAGGACGCGTCAAAAGTAAGCTGACCTGACCATGCATACTACAAAGAGACAGCGAGCATTATTGGATCTCTGCTTCAAGGAGCAATCATAGTAAGTTTAACTCGGCATATTTGCAGTCTTCTTAAAAATCGTAAATGTAATTATGTAGGCAATAGGCATACTAGGTGAAATACACACGAAATACCATAAAATTCATACGAAAAACATTAACATTGCAAACTTTCATCTTGTTTCCAATGTTTATTACGCGTCATCCCCCCCGCCCTGGTCGCTGGTTTTGAAATTGGCTGAACCCCAAACAGTGGCTGGATCCGCCCTTGGGCGGGAGAGCGGCGAAAAATTTTGCCCACCCAGTGAAAAATCCTTAGAGGAGGCCCTGCTCCAGCGACGGGTACCTACCAAAATTTAAACGGAATAACATGCAGACAGTTCACTTAATGGTCTGGTGACTTCAATGCAGATGCGGGGCAGGTAGTAGAACACTGAGTAGTGAGTACACAAGGTTTCCAATCACCCGTAGTTTTTCCCACTCAAAATGATTCATATCATCAGGTACTTACCAGTGGAAGAGGAGCATAGCAGGCAAACTTTGCCCCAGGCTCAAAACCTGAGTTCTTCACTCTAGCATTTTTTATGCCCTCCGTGCTTCCTATTGTTATGGATCTTGAAGGTATCCGGCCTACCATAAAACTTGCATCCTGGTCCCTGGATGACCGCACCGCACCTTTATTTCAGATGGAGCCAGTCTCTGTCCGTGCAGCTTCCTTTTTGGCATCACGAGGTGTACCTATTCCACGACGAGGGCTCTAACTTATCCACCTCTTCACTTCAACTTATCCGCCAGCCTTTTCCACCACCCCGCAACTCACTAATAACGCCGCGGACCTTCAACAATGCCTTCACTGCCTTGAACAACGCGGAAACTAGTGGAGCTCCTAGTGCTGTTAAACTGTTGAGTGCTAGTGTATGAAATAAATATTTCTTAATGAAATTGCATACAAATGCATGCAACTTTAATACTTCAGAATGGTGTTGTAAAATCAAATATTTTGAGGAATTTATCGCATGTCAGAATTTTCTAGTCTTTACAATATTGCTCTTCCACCCTCGTCGCCGCGCCGTCGCCGGTCGTCGGCATTGTTTCATCACTAGCTTTTTTCAATAAGGCCTTAAACTAAAGAAATAATGAGTTATGAGCGAAGAAAAAGAGATTATTGAAATCAGAAAAATCCTATTTATATCTGACGGGAGTATTGCCGCATTTAACGCAGCAGTTTACTTTATTTTCGCCTTCCACCATATTCCACCAACCAGAACTTCCGGTGAAAAGTCAGTGGATCTGGGGAATTTATAAGAAATCTGCGAAACACCTGAATATTTCTCTAGGGTTTCGAGAACTTCTCATAATTATAGGGAAATTCAGGGAAAAAAGATAAAAAGGCTTAGGTTTGATAAAAACATTCATTTTTTAAATTTAGATGCTTTCCTTAGACAAGGGAAAGCCGGATCGGGTTTAACAGGCAGAGCATCGGCGGCGGCATTTTTCCACCATCGAGGATCGCTGAGTTGCTCGATTTTCCACCGCCGTGCGTCGCCGTGACGGCACTTTATTTCACCTCTGGGTGAAACGGCGGGGGG